ACAGGCTCCCCGAGATACGCAAGAGGCCCCCGGGACCGCCAAGAGGCCCCAAGGACGGCCCAAGAGGCCCCCAAGCTCGCAATTGTCCTCCTCCTCCTCCTCCTCCTCTTTTTCTTCCTCCTCCCTCCTCCCCCTCCCCCTCCTGCTCCTCCTCCTCCTCCTCCTTCTCCTTTTCCTCCTTCTCGTCCTCCTCGTCCTCGCAGTCCTCCATCTCCTCCTCCTTCTATTCCTCCTCCTCCTCCTCCTGCTCCTCCTCCTGCTCCTCCTCTTCCTCCTCCTACTCCGACGACGACGGCTCCTCCTACATCCTCCCCCTCTTGGGGTATATGGCGGCTCACACCGCCCTTTGTCTGCATGCTCCCCCGCTTCCCTCATAACCTCCACTCCCCTGGGACTCATTTCTGGACGGGCTGGTGGGGATACGCGAAGCGTCTAGAATTTGTCATCCAGAATCCGCCCGTCTATCGGGGACATGCCCAACCTAAGACTAGGAGGGGGTGGACATCATGGCGGGGTCCATGAATCTCTCCAAATTTCACGGCGCCCCTTCTTGCTTGAGTGCGTCCCCGGCCCGGCACCGGCCCAGCCCCGGCCCCGGTTCTGGCCTGGCCCCGGCCCTGCCTCGGCTGGCCCGGCCCCGGCGCGGCCCCTGCTCTGGCCCCTGTAGGCTCTGGCCCGGCCTGGCCCCGGCACGCCCTGGCCGGGCCCCAGCCCCGGCCTGGCCCCGGTTTTCGCCTCCCCCACCCGGCCCTTGTCAGCACCGCTCTCGGCAAGAACAAGCGAGCAATAACGAAGGCAAGGGCGCCGACAAGCGTGAGAGGCGCTTTGATGGTCAGGCTTCCTCCTCCATCCACCAGATGAGCTGTTCCGTCCGTCCCTCTGTCTTATGCTGCTCCGGTCGTACTTACGGACCGCATCCCAAAAATAATTTCGAGCACCCGGAAAAGTGTCGAAACAGTGTCGGACGAGTGTCTCCCAGGGCCCGACACGTGAAAACCATGGAATTTCGGTTCTTTGTTGGTGCTCGAAGTTCTTTCTGGTGATCCAGGCAAAAGTAGGTTGGAATATCATAACCTCTGTCCACTCCCTCGCAGATCTGGAGTCGGTGGTGGGGTGGTGGATGTATGGAGAGGTGGGCAGCTCCTGCCATGCTCCAGTCCACCCGCGGCCCCAAATTCAGGCGGGCAGGCACTGGAGCTGGCGAAACCTGGCGTGGAGCTGGAATGCGAGCAACCGTGTTCTACAGCTTGGGCTTCCTGGCACGTCTGTGTGGGAGGAAGTCTATGTTGCTGGGCGGTGCAGGGTCTGCCCTCGCACATTCGCTGCCGGAAGGTCCAGCCTTGCTCTTGGCGTGGTCCATTATATTTTCGAACCTCGAAGTCGAGGGCGATAATGACGGCGACGACAACGACGAAGACGACGACTGCGACGACGTCCGCGACGACGACGACGACGCCGAGGAGGAGGATGAGGACGACGACGACGACCACGATCACTATCTACCATATTCTGCTTACACGAGTCGTGACCTAAGGCGGGCGCGGCAACCGCCAGCAGGAACAATACGAAAAGACTCAGGAAGAATAACTACACTAACCTGCCGCTGCTTGTTGTCACCAAGGTGCTCAATCGGTGCGATTTAAAGGTTTCTGCTTCTATAACAAGTAACGCCAATCGGGGCATCGCCTTTTCGAAACGGCGGTTAGTATCCAGACACCCGGCTGCTCAATTTTGTTCGATGCGTGGGTCGGGGAGGTCTGGAGTCAGGTCGGGCATGTCCCCCTACAGGCCGATTTTAACAGAAAAATGAAAAATACACCAAAAATACCCAACAAATTCCCAAAAATAGTCAAAACATCGTCCCCGTACTATGTTCTTACTATTTTTGAATATCCCCCCTGTATAGGGACAGGCCCGATTAAGTCTGGACCACTTCCCTAGGACTAGTTTTTCGTCCTGAATCGTGTTTGACGGTCCCAGGGCCTGGCGAGGACCTCCGGAGGCCGAAAACATCCAGAAGTAGCCCGCTGCAATATCATTTGGAACGTCGGATCTCTGGGAACCTCGAACATGGACTCCCGAAACGGGTACGGAAAACATTGGCACAATGCCGCACAACAAATGTTGTCCCAAACCAACAGCGGCCGCCGTCGGGGAAGCGGCCTTCTGTCTCAAATGTACACAGGCCGCGGCGACACCGACAGCGAGTCCGGTTCAAAATGAACAGGAACCGTTGTTGGGCATTGTACCCTTTCTTTCCATACCCGTTTCTTCCGTGCCGATTGAACACTCTTCTGCGCATCCGGGTCCATGGGGATTTCCCGGATCTCGAAAGCACTCACCCGGGGCTCTCCAAGCACCAAGCTCGCCGCCCCGGGGTGGCTCGGCCCAGATCGCAACCGAGTCAAAAAATTATCCCGGCAAAGCAACCTAACAGCGATGTGTAGGAGCATATCTGGAAGCATTCCCCTTAAGATTCAGATGAGAATCCAGTTGTAGAATTCTGTTGTTCTCGCAGTCGTAGTCGCATTCGCGATGACAGTCGCAGCGGCAACGGCAGTCGCAGTCACAGCTTCAGCCTCAGCCTGCCTCAGCCTCAGCCTCAGCCTGCCTCAGCCTCAGCCTGCCTCAGCCTCAGCCTCGGCCTGCTTCTGCCTCAGCCTCAGTCTGCCTTCAGCCTCGGCCTCAGCCTCAGCCTGCCTCAGCCTCAGCCTGCATCAGCCTCAGCCTCAGCCTCAGCCTGCCTCAGCATCAGCCTGCCTCAGCCTCAGCCTCAGCCTGCCTCAGCCTCAGCCTCAGTCTGCTTCAGCCTCAGCCTCAGTCTGCCTTCAGCCTCGGCCTCAGCCTCAGCCTGCCTCAGCCTCAGCCTGCCTCGGCCGCAGCATCAGCCTGCCTCAGCATTCAAAATGTGGCCCAGGAATGGAATTCTGGGAACTAAAAAACACGAAGTGGCCTACAGTTGGCTCCGGGCATTCAAATCATGCCCAGGAATGGAGTTCTGGGAACTCGAAGAGCACGAAGTGGCCTACAGTGGCTCCGGGCATTCAAAATGTGGTCCGGGAATGGAGTTCTGGGAACTCGAAGAGCACGAAGTGGCCTACAGTTGGCTCCGGGTATCCAAAATGTGGCCCGGGAATGGAGTTCTGGGAACTCGAAGAGCACGAAGTGGCCTACAGTTGGCTCCGGGCATCCAAAATGCGGCCCGGGAATGGAGTTCTGGGAGGTCGAAGAGCACGAAGTGTGTGACTGTTGGCTCCGGTTATTCAAAATGTGGCCCGGGAATGGAGTTCTGGGAGGTCGAAGAGCACGAAGTGTGCGACTGTTAGCTTAAAACGAGCCCGGCTCTGTTCCCGGCCCTCCTCCCCGGCACCCGCCCAGACCCCCCTGAGGAGTCATGATGCTCTCTTTTGACCCTACTAGAAACCTATCAGCAAACGCTGTTCGGTAAAAACGTCCTTTTGACGCCCTCTGCTCCAGGGGGTCTCCCGAGAGGGGGTGTCAGAGGGGCGCCCAGAGATCCGACGCTCCAAACAACAATTGGAGCGGGCTGCTCTGGGATGTCTTCGGCCTCCGGAGGTCCTCGCCGGGCCCTGGGACCGGCAAACACGATTCGGGACGAGAAACCAATCCTATGAGGAAGTGGTCCAGACCTCCAGGGGCTCTCCCGGGAGGGGGTGTCAGAGGGGCGCCCAGAGATCCGACGCTCCAAGCAACAATTGGAGCGGGCTGCTCTGGGATGTCTTCGGCCTCCGGAGGTCCTCGCCGGGCCCCGGGACCGGCAAGCACGATGCGGGACGAAAAAGCAATCCTGAGGAAGTGGTCCAGACATCCAAGGGGTCTCCCGGGAGGGGGGGTCAGAGAGGGGCGCCCAGAGATCCGACGCTCCAAACGAAAGATTGGGGCGGGCGGGTTTGGGCTGTCTTCGGCCTCCGGAGGTCCTCGCCGGGCCCCGGGACCTTCAAACACGATGCGGGACGGAAAAAACAATCCTGAGGAAGTGGTCCAGACCTCCAAGGGGTCTCCCGGGAGGGGGTCAGAGAGGGAGATCCGACGCTCCAAACAGAGATTGGGGCGGGCGGGTTGGGGCTGTCTTCGGCCTCTGGGGGCCCTCGCTGGGCGCTGGGACCGTGAACAAAACGACGGAGGAGGAAAAACCATTCCCAGGAAAGTGGTCCAGACCTCCAGGGCCCACGCATCTAAAAAAATTACAGCAGCCGGATGTCTGGGGTCTTTCGCGAGCCGTCTTGGAGGTCCCAGGGGCGGGCCCCCGAATTTCTCTGGTCTGGCGTGAATCAACATGCTCGCCGCGCTGGTCGCAAGAGAGTCCACGTGTCCAAGGGCCCAGGAATCACCCCCAAGCCAACCAAAGATAGCCCAAGTGGCCCCCAAGAGGCCCCCAAGGGGGGCCCCCAACGCACGCCGTTGTCGCACCGCGGAGAGCCAACCCCTCCAACAGGAAGCCCAAGGCCTCTGGGAGACGACCCAGGCGCTGTGGTGGGATGGGCCGAGGACCATTGCCAAGGCTCCCGCCCTCGAGCAAAAAAACTCCCACTGGCCCCGCGAGGGTGAAGCTGAGCTCGTTGGAGGGGCCCCCGTGGTACCTCAGCACCTGGCGCTCCTCCTCCTCCCCCTCCTCCTCCTCTTCCTCCTCCTCCTCCTCTTCCTCCTCCTCCCTGCGTCCCCTGCCCACACAACCTGTTCACCTCTCAGGGTCGGCGGAACCGTCCGTAAGACCTTTGCGGCACGATAGACAAACCTGAGATCCGACGTAGCGAAGAAATTCAACATCTTAAACAATCGCGCCTGGAGCCCTAAACCCCACTTTCCTGCGTCATCTGTCGGTCCTGATCGATATGTGAGGGTCCTGGGGCCCGCAAAAAAAGGCGAAACTGCCCAGCTCAAGGAACTCAGGAAGGGTGCAACGGAACGTGGACCAGCGAACTGCAGCCGAATGGACCGACGACAGCGACAGCCACGACGCCGGCGGCTGCGACGACGACGGTCCTCCGTGCCGAACTGGCCGAGGTCTTCCCTCGAGCCCGAGGGCTGCACGAGCGTCGCCTGCCACGTGGGCGCGCACCCCGCAGCGGCTACCGCTCGCGCGCGAGCAACGGCGACGAGCGACGAGGCGACGAGCGACGACGACAACGCCGAGCGGCGACGACGACGACGAGGCGATGACCGACAAGCGAGACAGGCGACAGACGAGCCCCGGCGAGCACGCGGCCCCCGCTGGGACCGGCGTGGGGGTCTGAGGCGACAAGGAGCTTAGCAGTGGATGCCGAGGTGGGTTGGGCCGAGCCTAGCCTGGGTCATAAGTGGGTTACAAATGCCCCAAGCGACTTGGGGGGGTCGGTCACTCCGCTAAGCGGGCTCCGCCCACTTAGCTCAGATTGCGAACCTCGTAAACCACTTGGGGCATTCGCAACCAACTTCTAAACTACGTTCGGCCAGCCGTAACATACCACCTCGGCATCATTGGAAAAAATCCGATCCCATCGGCAACCCCCGAGCCGGTTGAATCGACGATTCGGGAAATTGCAAATCAACGATGAACTTTGCTAGGAGAAGGAAGAGGAGCAGGCAAGCAAGCAATGACCCATGGAGTCCTGGTGCAAAGCAGCCTCGGTTCGACCTGAAGCACTTTGCCAACTCTGGGTGGCATTCCACATGAACGCCAGTCAGCCTCTGGACGTGAGCCCTGTGCTCTCGCCCAAAGGGCGCACTGCCCCTCTAATGACAACCTTCACAGCGGGCACGCATCCCTGGAGGGCGCCCTCCGGGGATCGAGGCGCCCATCCCGCCCACCCCCCCTCGGAGGGCGAGAGGGGGGGGGTGACGGTGGGGACAGCAGGGGCCTTCGATCCAGGGATACGTGCCCCTGGGAGCCTCCCGCTCCTCGAACGCTCTTGATACCTGGCACTATTGGCCCACGCGCTCGAACTACGGCCTCTCATCGGAACCCTCGCGTTTTTCCTACTCGCTTCCTCCCGGCCAGCCCCGCTGCCGCTCCCCCGCCCACGATCAAGTTCGCTAGGCTGCAGGCTGGGTGCTGCTGCTGCTGCTGCTGCCGGCATGCACTCGCTAGGCTGCAGGCTGGTTGCTACTGCTGCTGCTGTCATACTGCTGGCCATTGTTTACTGATGCTGCTATACTAAAACGCGTAGACACAAAGTTCGCACTGATCAAAGCTGGGCCCGGACAACTTCGTTCCGCGCTGCCCCATAGAGGCTCTCGGGCCCGAGGAAAAACCAGGGCCCGAAGGAACGTGAAAACCTAACTCGCCCAAGCTGCTGACAGGCTCACGGGCGCCACTCTCTCTCACAACATCTCCTTCCCTCAGAACAACTTCCATTTACCCTGGGCCTCGATGGCGCGGGGGGCCTCTCTCCCCAGCGGGCCGCGGGGAACTGCGCCTGTCGCGCGCGCTCCGTTGCACACGGCCCTCGTCTTCGTGATCAGCAGGCGCAGGCTGTTCGCGTGCTCGTGGCGCGGGCCCGGGGCCCGCGCGACCACCCCCCCTGGCCTCGTCGGCGTTATCCTTCTTGCCTTTGTTCGGTCGCCAGCGGATGTGGAGGGCCAGCTCGGGCAGCTGCTGGGGGGTAGACCTCCTCGCGACAATCTCCCAGCACTCGCGCCAGCCCTTCTGCGGCCCCCCCTCCAGCTTGTTCACGGACCAGACGGCGCCCGCGGAGAAAATCTGCACGCGCGGCGGGCCCCTCGAGCCCCAGTCGATGCTCTGGCCCTGGGACTGCTTCTCCTCCCACTCCTTGCTCTGCGCGCCGTGCTTCTTGCCTTCTTCGCGGAGTGCCGCCGGCATGCCGTCTGCGACGTCTGCCACCTCGGATGCGGCAAAGACTGCGCCGGACACCTCTGCGATAATAGCGCGACTGTCGGCCAGCGCCGGGTGTGCCAGCGCGTAGAGCAGCTTTCTTTCGTCCTCGGACTTTGAGCCTCCCACGTGCGCCCCGTTCGATGCGGGCGGCCCGGCCGAAGGCGGGTGCTCGCGCAGCTGCTTCGCCCGGCCCGGCGCAGCTACATCTGCCGCGCTCACGATCGGAAAGCCGATCGGGCAAGACGCACAGGAAGGCGCTGGGCCAGATGGCTGCGTAGATCAGGGAGGTCGGGCCCCGCGTGATCGCATGCTGGGCGTGACAAACTCGACGGCGTTAGGGCGTCATGAAATTCGTGGGGCCCCTGGCACTGCATGCACCCTTGGCGACTGATTGCGAAAGATGACGACCTGCGATAATCTTGGAGGCGAACGACTGACGGCAGTAGACACATATGTTGGTAGGTGATAGTAAATGCCGTAGGTTTCGAACGTTCCGTCTATGTCGAATGTGTTCTAGGAGATTTTGTTTGGCACACAATTCGGCTGAGCATGTCCTTCCTCCGTCGGGAAATTCGCACTGCCGCGGTAAAGATGTCGCCTCTTCAGCGACATCCGCCACCACTGGGGCGCACTCGGACGGGGCATGGCCGCGCGGAGCTCGCGCGCGCGGCTCGGTAAAACCAAATCGTCGGAATTATGTAGCCACCTGTGTGTCCAAGGACTCCAAAGGGTTGTCAGCAAGATGCGCCGACAGACCAGATGCCATCTGAGTAGCCGCTGCACGGACGTCGTCCCGAACGCGTTTGGCCCAAAGAGAAGCGTGTTTCGAAAGCCTCGAGTAAACCGTCGACCGACACACGTGGCCCTCGACCCCTCGCTCGAATTCGATCGTGCCGAACAGAGAACAAAGGGCGCGGGGGTTTTCTTCGGGGTGTCTGCTCCAGTCCTGACGCCGCCGTCAACGTCGAACTCGCATTCCGATCTCGCAGCGGGCGATCTAACAAGAGAACAGAATCTGGTAGTTCGACCACGCGCGATTCATTCCGCCCTCCTCCCTCGCTCCTCGGCCACAGAGCGGGGCGCGGGCGAAGCTGGCCAGGCGCGGGCCCAAGAACTGGCACTGGGCACTGGAAATGTCGAGCGCCTCGAGGCCGCTCAGCATCAGGCCCATGTTCATAGATGCTGCGCGGGCCCGCTTCCATGGCACTGAAAACCCCCAGAAGCCACCCGCACTGTAGAACGCGCCCGGGGCTGCTTCAAGACGCCGCTGGACTTCCGAAGGCGAGGCGCTAGACATGTTCATGCGCGGGCCCAGGTAACTTGCTTCCTCTTGGAGACTGCCCCCCAATCCCCTGGCAACATACTCTCGCATCCATCTTCGGCATGCCACGGAGCCCCCCCCCCCTCCCGTGGAACAGAACAACTTGTTTATCGGTGGTCTGCCTAATTATAGCCACTGGTCTCCAGGGCCTCGTCGAGGATCTGACCTGAGCTACTGAAGACCTGGAACAAGTCAGAGACGCACTGAACCTCCTGTGCCAGCGTAAGCTTTAGCAGATCGTCTGCGTACTCACACAAGCTCAGGTTAGTGACGATGTCCTCGTCTGCTCCTGGGGATCGATAAGACGCCTGCAGGTCTGAAGAGGTGGGGTGCCGGTCGGATTGCATGCTGCGCGCCACTGGCCGTCGGAAAGTACTTAAGAAGAGTTTCACCACAAACGGGTCTCCCATCATTCCTCCCTCCCTTGCGCCACCCATAGGTCGTCGTTGTCGTTGTTGGTAGGTAATTTTACTTGGGTGTCTCGGTATCGTTGCTCTCCCATGGCGATGTCGTCGATCGTCGATGCCAAGATGCCCGCCGTCTTGTCGAGCCCCCTCCCGTCCCCCGTCCTAAACGCACTAGAGTGATCATTAAATCCTGCGGCGATGCTCCTGCCCGCTCTCGTTAGCCTCCATGCAGTGGCCACTAGAGTCTCCTTCTCGGCGTCGCCACTAGACGCAGCCAAAGTCGCGTGCATCAGCGGGAACTCGCAGCGCGCCGGCGTAAGAAAGACTTCCCCAGCGCAGGAAACAGGTGCGCCACCCTCTTCCCCATAGGGCCATGGACAGCGCTCTTTCGAAGGCCACTCCAGCGCTGCGATGCCATTGGGATGTGGCGAGCTCCAGATTCCGAATCATCCGAAACCCCGCTTTCAACGCTTCCATGAAGTACTTCATCTCAGGAATGTTGGCCGAAGCCCCCAGACCCAAACGTTGCCGAACCAGCAATTTTGGGGGGTGCATGCGCATGTGCCAGAGTGGGGCGGGCGGGGTATCTTTTGGGGCTCCTCTCCTCCTGGGGGCTTTCTGGATCGCCTTCTGGACTCTCTCGTAATCCTCCTGCGCCATTCCGGTCGCCTCGGGGGTGGGCGGGTGGGGCGGGCCAGGGAAGACGGGCTCCGGGGGTCCAGGAGGGCGTGCCTCTTCTACTGACATGCCTCCTTGTTCTCCTGGTAGCCTCCAAACCTGAAGCAACTCCTCTCGACATGGCATGTTCGCGCGAACTAGTCTGAGATCTCGCTGCTTCGGGCCAAAGCGACACTTAGCTGCCCGACGTGAGGATCTCATTGCCAGTGATGTTTCTCGCTGCTCCCATGCTGCCTCACTCTCCTCCTGAATGTGATTCCTGCGCGCCTGAGCCTCCTGGCGTCGGTGCAGTTTGAGAGTATGGGAAAGGGCCTTCGGCTTCTCATTGATTTCCTGCATGTCGGCCCCGGCCTCGCCCTTCCCCTCCCTTACTTCGGCTCGCCGTCGTAATGGCTTCCGACGCCGGCGATTTTGTCACTGTCGCATCGGGCCATCATGGCTGCGATGCCAATCGAGGCCGGCCTTCATCAAGACTGATCGAGATAAGCAAAACAAGCATCTGAGGCGCCACTGTTCTGGAGCGGATGCCATTTCTCCTGCTCGTTCTCCGTCGCCCCTTCCACCTGGTTGAGACGTGCAGCGTTGCCGTCCCCCTTCCGCCATCAGTTCATCCAACAAGATGTCTTTGTCCTTGTGGGGATCCCTGACAGCGGGGGCCATCGTGGGTTTCTTGGAAATCTTAAGCGCGAGCATCAAAAGTATATGGTCGAGCGGTAGCCTGCCTCGGTATGCTTGAAGTTGAGCTCCTGATCTACGAAGCGCATGGCATCTTGTAGTCCGCTCTGCTAAACCCAACGGCGCGAAAATGCAGTCGATGAGACTGTCACTTTTCTCACATAACAGTTTGTGTGTTCCCGACGATCTCGGGTGTTGAAGGCGAAGAGGTGATGCCGTGCTGCTACTCGATTAAGCGCTTCTCCCGCACCGCCCATCCGTGCTTCCCGTGCCACTTGCTCCACAACGTTCTCCTTACAATGCTACCATGCCGTAGTCTACTTACAATGTCCAACGCCATCATTCGCACCAGTAAAAATAGGGCAGCACCTCTGAGGGAGCGAATTAAGCAGCTTAGCCAGCCAAGTAACCAACGCGCGTACAGTAGTAAGATCGTGTCCCACGTCGTTCCTGCCCTTCGGCTGGGGGGGAA